TAAGAAAAAAAAATAAAGTTATGATTAAGTGTAAATGGACTAAACTCACCAGTTAAAAGGAAGATGTCTTCAGATTGGATTAAAACAGAACAATCTAGATATCTTGCTATATCTTACAGAAAACCTAAAACACAAAGACATGGTGTTTGACATTATACCAGAGTAATTGATGTTAGCTATTATAGCAAATAACTCCTAGGAATGCATGGGGCTTAACACAACAAAGCTTATTTCTTGCTCCCATCACAGTTCATCAAGTTAGGCTGCTGCTCTGGCTGTCTCTCCTTCAATCAGCGACATAGGAATCTGAGATCCTTCCATCCGGCTTCTACCACCTTGGAGTTCTTTACCTCGAGCCATATGAACAGGGGAGAGGGAGAGGGAGGAGGAGGAAGAGAGGGAGCGGGAGGGAGAGAACAGAAGACCATGTACAACATTTTAGGGACCAAGGCTAGAAGTGGTGTACATCACTTCTGCCCACATCCCTCTGGCCAGAAGTCAGCTCACATGGTCCCAACATAGCTGCGAAAAAAGCTGGGAAATGCTGTCTTGTGTTCCCAGGAAGAGAAAATGGAATTAGTGAGCATCTAGCCAGTCTCTGACAAATGAAAAAGTTGAAAATTAAAAAAAAAGAGAGAGATGGAAAGGGATATGCTAGGCAGACACTAATTAGAAGAAGAAAACTAGAGTAGCTCTGTTCATATTAGACAAAATAGTCTTCAAGCCAAAATGCATTATTAAGAATAAAGATAGTAACTGCATACTGACAACAGGTTCGATTCACCAGGAAGAGATGCTAGTTCCAAAATTATATGTGTACCTAATTACATCTTCAAGTAACATAAAGCAAAAATGGACAGAATTATAAGGAAAAACTGACAAGTCCACCACCACAGTAGGGACATACATAACGTATACCTTTCTCAATAATTGATGTCACACAGACCAAAAATTAGTAGTATATGGAAAACATAAACAATACAATTAACAAGCTTGATCAAAAGGACATATACAGAACTTTGTATCCAACTATAGAGAATGAATATTTTTCTTAAGAGTACAAGAAACATTTGTGAAAACTTTTCTAGGTTGAAAAAGTCATAAAAGGAAAAAAAAAAGTAAAAAAAATAAAAACTGACCATGTACTTGGCTATAAAGCAAGTCTCAGCAAGTTTCCCAGAATCAGTATCATATAAATCATGTTCTCTTGATTACAGTGTTATTAGGTTAAAAATATAATAAATAACAGAAAGATAACCAAAATAACACTGTGTATGAAGATGTTCATTCTAATGTTGATTACCTACAGTAGTGAAAAATTAGAAACTGAAATATCTAATGATATGGGTATGGCTAGGTAAATTATGCTTTATCAACTCAATGGGCTGTTGTGTGACCATTAAAAATTATTTTTTAAATGGACAATGTTTAAGATACAATATTAAGTGAAAGGTTTAAATCTATATGTTACTGATGATTACAACCATATGAAAAATATGTATGCATTTAGACAGATTAGAAAGGTATAAGCAGGCCGGGTGCGGTGGCTCATGCCTGTAATCCTAGCACTCTGGGAGGCCGAGGCGGGCGGATTGTTTGAGTTCAGGAGTTCGAGACCAGCCTGAGCAAGAGCGAGACCCCGTCTCTACTAAAATTAGAAAGAAATTAATCGGCCAACTAAAAATATATAGAAAAAATTAGCCGGGCATGGTGGCGCATGCCTGTAGTCCCAGCTACTCGGGAGGCTGAGGCAGTAGGATCACTTGTGCCCAGGAGTTTGAGGTTGCTGTGAGCTAGGCTGACGCCACAGCACTCACTGTAGCCCGGGCAAAGAAATGAGACTCTGTCTCAAAAAAAAAAAAAAAAAGAAAGGTATAAGCAAATGAAAACAGTTGTTATATTATGGTGATGGGATTATGTATAATTCTACTTTGAAAAGGATTTTCTGTGATGTGATTACATTGTTTAATGTGAGTTAAAAGAATCAATAGAAGACATGATCTCCGTCTGGCAGCAGATGCTAGTTGTGCCTTAATACCCATTACCCCTTTCTTTTATAACAATAGAATTTTAGTTGGGTATATAACTGCCCAAAACAAAAGTACATTTCTGAGCCTCCCTTGTAACTAAGTGTTATGATGAGATGAAGTTATAGCTAATGAAATATGAAAAGTGGGAACACTGAAATACAAAGAATATGTCCTTCCTTTGTCCTTTTCCTCCATCTTGGTATCTCAAATCTTTCCTTAGCTTTGTTATTACACATATCATAGGTGGACAGAATCTGATATGCATTTGATCAGATTAGTGACTGCTTTCCAAATTAATGAATGAGAGTATGTATGACTCATGAGGACAAACAGGTTTTTTTCTATTCAACCAGTGTCCAGTACAAGCTCTGAAAACAAGAGGATTATCCTTCCCTTTTTGTACATCAAATGATGATGTATTAATATTAAAGAGTGCATGTTTCTGTTAAATATATTCTAGTGAGAATCACATACTTTAATATTCTTTATCATTTGAGAATATTTTAGCAGAAGATGAGATCCTTTTACAGGCTGCCATGCCTGAGTTAGATCAGCAATCAACCTATGCATTTTAAATGTTAAGCAAAATCAAAAACTGTATTTTAAAGGTCAGTAAATAATTGTACTTTGTTTAATTGTCACAGCCTCTGCTAGGGTTTGATAGAATCCAGTAGCCTGGATCGAAAAAAGAAATCAATATACTATATCAGGAATGAGAATTTATCAATTCAAAATGAAATTGATAAATATTACTCAAAACAGTCTTTATGCTTGAAAAATACCCAAATTACAACAATAAAGCAGATGCAACATTCTGCTCCAGGTGCTTACAATGCTCAATAATGATTAGCTATGCTATGTCACGCCTATGGTAGCAACAAATCCATTATTATTTTTATTATCATTCAGAATAGGTCATTCACAAGCTGTTCTGTAAAAACAACATTCGACTGAAAAAAAAGACACTGGAAGCTGACGCAAGAGCAGCCTTTTATTCTGTGAATTCTAATATTTATGCTAAGTAGGGCCTGTTCAGATATTTCTTTAAATGAAAGAAAATCAAAATCGAATAAAAGACCCAGGGACTAATTTATTCATCATTTCTTGAAGAAAACTGTATACTGCTAGTTTGAGGGCATCTAACAGAAATAATGTGTTCAGATTAAAATTCTGTCAGCAAAAAATATCTGCACTTATGGTAATATAAAAGGGCCTAAAAATATGTCACATATTTAGTGAAGAGAATATACTGAGGACTTCTATTTTATTTTCCTTTATTAATCATACTCATCAATTATACACAGACAAGTAGATTGTTAAACAACTTTGGTTTTCTGTCAATTAGCTGTACATTAACATGATGGAGGATTACGAACAAGTAAGTCTTGATACCAAGAAAATCCATCCTTTTTTCCTTTTTCCAGTTCATCATCTGACATGGGTTCATTAATTTTCACAATGCTAAAAGATGGGGTGGAGAAGATGACTTCCTTTCGTTGCTTTGTATCTGCTGTGTCCATTTTCGGTTCCTAGGCAGAATTATAAATAAAAGTGGGAAGTGTTTTATATTTGGTTTTTACTGCTTTATACTTTTATATTTGACTCTTTATATTTAGCCTCATCCCCAAAATATTTACCGCAAATTTTTTAAAATTACAAAGTAATACATAAATACACGCTCCTGGTAAATATTTCTACGATGTAAAAGTATACAGAGGCAGACTTTACATAGTATAACTTTTAATAAGTTTAGATAGAAATGATTTCCATTTTGAGAAAAGTACCATCAGAGATGTGCTGAATCAACAGTGTCAACACAGAGAAGACAGTAGTTTTTTTTGCCAATTCATGCTGATGTGGAGCCCAAACAGCTGGTGTTTATCAGAATTGCTACCAATATTGTTTAAGAATTTTAGGAATACATGTTACCAAGATGAAATTAGCTTTATACTATGCAAGGTATAATATGCCAAAGGTGTTTCAGCCTTGAACTCGTAGATTAGGAAAATTTCACTTTTGCAAGTACAATTACTTACAGGCATTTGAATAATGTTCAAAACAATGAATTCAGTACAAGTTAAACTTACTGTCACCTCAGAAGCCTTTTTTTCTTTAGCCAAATAAGCTTTTTTCATTTTTTCAACTTTCATTTGAGCCTGCTTGGATCGACGACCTAAATGTTTAACTTGAGTTTGCTTTTGGTAGGGCCGACATGAAGGCTGGATACTTAAGAAAGATGGACACCTAGAAAATGTTTGTATTATAGACAGAAAAATCACACAAAACAAAATTTAAATGTAAAGCAACTTCCAGATTTTATTAAAGCATTCTCTAGCAAATAAATCATAGGCCTGAGCAACAATGCATGTAAGCTTTTAGGTTAAAGCTATCATTTCTGATGAGTTTACATAGCATATTTCTTTATCTGGCGCTTATGAAGGTGTATTGGTGATGATGTTGACAACAATGAAGGTGATGAAAATTATAAAACCTGGTATCGATTGAAAATTCTCTTTCCTGGAAAATACTGTGTAGTAGCCACTTGAATCTAGTTTTTTTATACCATACACTAACACAAAAAAGTATTACATTTCTTAACAGTTGGAAAAACAAGCTGTTTTTATCAGTGTTGGGATCGGATACAGTTGGTGCTATGCCCATAATCCCGCTGGAATTACCACTGCAGGGCACAGAAGCCCAACTTTCAACTGCCAGCATCTGCATCACTCAGCTTGAAAGCTTTCTTTGAAAACAAGAGCCCATATGCAGGGGAGGCCGAAAGTGCCTGAGACTTATTAATAATACCTTCCCTCCTAAGTAACTCTTAACCAATGACTGATGGGAGGTGGTGTACCAGTACCCCAGCTCCCTTGCTCCCCGTGGGATAACTCTGAGTTGCATGTTCTACATTGGCTCTGACATTCCCAGGAGGGATTAAGCTCTAGTTACCCATGGTGGTAACCTGCTTGCTAACACATACTGTTTTGGCTGCCTTTTCTTCTCTGTTTCACCTCTCTACCCCCTCCCTTCAGTGGTTCCTGGGATTACCTCCCAAATAAACTACTTACACTCAAATCTCTGTCTCTGGGTTGGCTTCTGGGAGATCCCAAACTAAGACTGCATTCAAAGATGCCTTTATGAAAGTATTTTTCCTCTTCAATTGATTGAGAATTTGGCTACTTATTTGACTCTGAAGTGACTTATTCTTGGATAATCAGTTGCATAAATCCAAATAGCAGGAGCCCGGGTTTATATATGGTGGCAGAGAAATTACATTATTTATTTGACCTTGGTAGTAATAGGGTTAAGTTCTATATTCAGTGCTCATATGGATGAGTTAGAGAAAATCTATTTCATGATGACAGACTGTGCCCTAAACCAGGCCATCTGTCTGGCAAATGTATAGCCCTGATCATAAAATCAACGGGTTCAATTATGTTATTAGGTCAGCATCACTCGTCTCTACTCCTGAAAAAAAAACCCAGCATGTTTGCTTGACAGTGGGTCATCAGTGTCTTATTCATGTACTAGAAGAGTATTTTTCATTTCAAATATAAGTGTGTGAAAATAGATTACCAAGAGGGCTTCATCAGCCTTATTATCTCTTTCTTTTTCTTAAGAAAGCCAACTTCATTTGTGAATAAGATGGGCTAGGTGAGATTTAGTAATGGAAAGAAAAAAGTAACATAATTGCAGCACCCATATTCTGTCCATGTTGTTTCAGATCATAATACATCTATTTTGTTACAACATGCATTTCTGTAATGTGAATTGGCTGACATGCTATTGGTAAAGAAGGGAATAATGTCACGCTAATTTATATGCAATTTATTCTAGGCAAGGGGAGCCAGAATAGCAAGAATAGAATTATAACCTTCGGCAGAAAAAGAAAAAGCCTTCAGATCTCTGCTGTATGGGCAATGGGAGCCCTTTTGGCTGCATTTATGAAACAGAAATTAGCACCTGCATTGAGGGCTGTCTCCCCAGAGAGGCACAGCTCCCCCATCCACTCTTACTGCCCTCCACCCTCCTCCCTCGCTGCCCTCCTTCTCCACCTTGGATGTCTCTTGGTTCTTGGCAGGTTGCACTGACTGCCTCTCACGTCCACTTAAAAGGCAACCACGCTGGCCCAAGGCTCCACTTCCATCTGCACTGTCTCCGTGCCCACTACCTGCTCTAATTAAAGAGTTGCCAGCATTTCTACTCTACTATTGTACATTTTTTATATTTTCTGTGGTAGCCTCCAGCTACACTGAGCTGGTGTCTGGTGGTACAAGTTATCTCCCCAAGTACCAATTGTCCTTTTTGTTAGTGCTCTGTTTACAAAGTTACATAAGTTTTGAGGAATCTGCCCCAACTCTATTTTTCCCATATGCCCTATTATTATCTTTAGTGAGCTATCTGGCAGAATGTGCACATTTTCAGATATGCCCCTAGTATTGTAACCCCAATGAAAGATCTCTTTTACCTAATCTCAGAAACAATCCGTAGCTGCTGCTGACGCATCTCTTCTGTTTTTGGTTTCTGTGAAAGACACTTCATTTCTTTTTGTAGACGGTTTGAGATTACTCCAGACTCTGCATAATCAACTATGTCATACATTATCATTGTCCTGGGAATGTTTTCTAGGCTTAATTTTCGCCAGCCGTTATTTCTGCCACCAGAAGATGCAGGAATCTCATCCAGAAGACTGGAATACTGTATGGAAAAAACAATTAAGAATGATTGGTTGCAGGGCCAGGTGCAGTGACTCACACCTATAATCCCAGCACTTTGGGAGGCCGAAATGGGAAGATCATTTGAGGCCAGGAGTTTGAGACCAGCCTGAGCAACATAGTGAGACCTTGTCTCTACAATCAATCAATCAATCAACCAATTAGCTGGGCATAGTGGCAAATGCCTGTAGTCCTAGCTACTTGGGAGGCTAAGGCAGATGGATTGCTTGAGCCTAGGAATTCAAGGCTAGGAATTCAGTGTGCTGTGATCATGCCACTACACTCCAGCCTGGGTGACTGAGTGAGACTCTGTCTTTAAAAAAAAAAAGAATGATTGGTTGTAGGTGCCCTAAAATGTTTATAGACACATTTCCCAAGGCTCCACTCAAATGTCACTTCATCCAAAAGCCATTCCTTGATCTCATCTCTGAACTTTATGGGCATCTCTCTTCTATGTCTCTTATTACTGACTACTCAATGTTTTAGTTACCTGCCTATGTCTTAGCTCCCTTACTGGAAGGCAGGATCCATGTTACAGAGTATCATGCACATAGTATCACACTCACTAAATATTTATTTAATGCATAATCATTTTTATGGCAAATATAACTCAGATATATTAAACTCAGGTGGACCTAAAAATTAATGATAATAGCTATGTGTTCTGCATACCTGGTAGTATTTGTTTATGACATGCTTGGATTGAAAGGACATTTCACAAACCTTTTTAGAAACAATGAGTTCATCTCTGGTGCTAAGTGGAGAATTTCACTATTTTCATTTGGAGTGTTTGTAGAAATCCTACTTTTCTTTTTTTCCAATTTAAAATATCAAATTAGGAATTTTAAAATACAAATATATATATAATGAATTTAACATTATAAATGTTCATTTAAGAGCTAGAGATAGGCCAGGAGGAGCTACAATGCTAGCAAATGGAGTAACAGTAAGGTCTTTAGAGTATATCACATACTCACACTCTCATGCACACACACACACACACACACACACACACATATACATACAGGCAGTCCTCCTTTTGCACCATTTTGGCATGCATAAATTTTGATCAATATTATTTAGTTGAATAATACCAGTCCCCCAACAACACAGTTCCAATTTCAGTTGCAGAGCATAACTGTGAGCAATTGCATAAAGTACAAACTCTGCTGCTAGCTCTTCAGTCCATAGATCGCTGCATAAATGACAGATGTGCATATCATGATTAGTGACAAATCATGACGTTTCTTCCAACGTCTGTCAGTGATTGGTCACTGTGAATCTGTTATTCAGTTCACACACTGACAGCAAAGTATGTAGCTGTGTTGCCTCTTTGTCTCCCAGTAATAAACCCATGTGTTATTCTATAAAAATGAAAACTTGAAAGAGGGAATTGGCTAGCAAAGAAACAAAAAGTGGTAACATGGGAAGTGAAATTGGAATCAAACATAAACAGAGTTCTAGAAGAAGTAGGTGACCGTGGGAATGCTGACACTGCCATCATTCAAGACGCTGCAGATGTGCAGCTAGAGGAACCTGGTGAGGGTGAACTTACCAACATAAATGAGGAAAGAGGCTGTGATGAAAAGGATGAAGCCTTCCCAGAGGAAGTGATGCTGGCCAAAAAATACTTCGCATTGAAGGAACTGTTAGATATTTCACAACATTCAAAGTGCAAAGAATAAAATGTTGGCAGCTGATCCAAACTTAAAAAGAAATATGACAATTCACCAAGACATAGAAAAGATGCTTGCTCCATATTTTAAGTTATACAAGAAGAAGAAGGCAAGCACTGTAGCACTGTTCAAATTACTCTTCACAGGTTGTTTTTTTTCACAGCTTTATTGAGATTCACGTACTATACAATTTACCCATTTAAAGTGTACAATTCAATGGTTTTCAGTATATTCATAGTTGATAAGTTTTTTTGCAAAGAAACAAAACACTTTAATTCTCAATGTTTAATTCTCAATTTAATTCTCAATTTTCTAATGTTTTAAATTATGGTGTACTAAATGTGTTGTTTTTTTCCTTTCATGTTCCTATGTATTTATAATAGATAGTCTCGAACTCCTGACCTCGAGCGATCCTCCCGCCTCGGCCTTCCAGAGTGCTAGGATTACAGGTGTGAGCCACCACGCCCAGCCTTATAATAGATAGTAAGAGAGTTTTTAATGTTTTGACAAAAAAAGTTTGTTTTTGGTTTTTTTTAGAGATGGTCTCGACATGTTGCCCAAGCTGGTCTCAAACTCCTGGGCTTAAGCGACTCTCCTCTCTTAGCCTCCTGAGTACCTGGGACTACAGACAAAATTTTTTTCTAAGTCTCAGGACAATCATAATTTTCCTCACTGATTATTAAGCTTGCTTTGCATAGTTTCAACTTGCATGGTCATTTTTATGGTCCTGTACTACCATGTAAAGTAAGACTGCCTATATATTTTATTTCCCAAGAGTGGAGTAGTAAAATGGGTAAACATCTTGGATCTGCCAATGATCTGCTCTGTCACTTAATAGCTGTGTGACCTTGGACAACTTTTTTTGAGCCTTGGTAAACATCATTTTTCTCCTCTGAAAGAAGGTCACATAATTTACAAACTTGAAGATTAAAGGAGATAATATGTATGTAAAGAGCTAAAAACATGCCCATATAAGGACTCAATAAACGTCAGCAATTGTCTTATCTCTCTCTTTCACTATGTCTATCTGGAGACTTGTCTCTCTGACGCTAATCCTTGACGTGTTCACAATCTGCAAGTCTGTGATCTGTGTCCTTAGCAGAGGCAATTGGCAACTGAGGCTCTACTTACTTCCTGCTTAAATTCCCTAAACTCATAGATTAAGGCTTTGAAAGGAAGAAAACACAATTGGGAGTCTCTAAGGCACACTGCATTAATTTTATGTTTCACATTGAAGTAACTCAGTGAATAGTTCAGGCCACATACAGGCATACCTTAGAGAGACTGTAGGTTCCCTTCCAGACCACCATGATAAACTGAATATTCCAAATAAAGCGAGTCACACTCATTTTTTGGCTTCCCAGTGCATGTAAAAATTATATTTACATTATACTGTAGTCTGTTAAGTGTGTAATAGCATTATGTCTAAAAAATGCACATATCTTAATTAAAAATACTTTATTGCTAAAACTGCTAATAATCATCTGAGCCTTCAGTAAGTCTAATCTTTTTGCTGATGGAGGGTCTTGCCTCAATGTGGATGGCTGCTGACTGATCAGGGTGGTGGTTGCTGAAGGTTGGGGTGGCTGTGACAATTTCTTAAAATGAGACAACAATGGCCGGGGACAGTGGCTCATGCCTATAATCCTAGCACTCTGGGAGGCAGAGGCAGGAGGACCATTTGAGCTCAGGAGTTCGAGACCAGCCTGAGCAAAAGTGAGACCCTGTATCTACTAAAAACAGAAAAATTAGCAGGGTGTGGTGGCATACACCTGTAGTCCCAGCTACTCGGGAGGCTGAGGCAGGAGGATTGCTTGAGTCCAAGAGTCTGAGGTTGCAGTGAGTAGCGAGACTCTGTCTCAAAAAAAAAAAAAAAAAAGAAAAGAAAAGAAAAAGAGAGACAACAATGAAGTTTGTCAAATCAATTGACACTTCCTTTCATGAAAGATTTCTCATTTCTCTATGGTATGCAATGCTGTTTGGTAGCATTTTACCCACAGAACTTCTTTCAATATTGTAGTCGGTCCTCTCCAATCCTGCCGCAGCTTTACCAACTAAGTTTATGTACTATTCTATTTTTTAAATTTTTTATTTTAATAGATTTAGGGGGTACAAATGGTTTTTTGTTACATGGATGAATTGTATAGTGGAGAAGTCTAAGCTTTTAGTGTACCTGTCACTTGAGCTATACTCAATAGGTAATTTTTCATCCCATACCCCCACCCGTCCTACCCTCCCCAATTTATGTACTATTCTGAATCCTTTGTTGGCATTTCAACAATGCTCACAGTATCTTCACCAGGAGTAGATTCCATCTCAAGAAAGCACTTTCTTTCCTCATCCATAAGAAGCAACTCCTTATCCATTCAAGTTTTATCATGAGATTGCAGCTATTCAGTCACATCTTCGGGGTCCACTTCTAATTCTAGTTGTCTTGCTATTTCCACCACATCTTCAGTGACTTCCTCCACTAAAGTCTTCAATCCCTCAAAGTCATCCATGAGGGGTGGAATCAACTTCTTCCAAACTCCTCTTAATGTTGATATTTTTACCTCCTCTCATGAATCATGAATGTTCTCAATGGCATCTAGAATGGTGAATCCTTTCCAGAGGGTTTTCAATTTACTTTGCCCAGATCCATCAGAGAAATCACTATCTATGGCAGCAACAGCTTTATGAAAGGTGTTTCTTAAATATTTAATAATAAGACTGGAAAGTTAAAATTACTCCTTGATCCATGGACTGCAGAACAGAAGTTGTGTTAGCAGGCCTGAAAACAATATTAATCTCCTGTACATCTCCATCAGAGCTCTTGGGTGACCAGGTGCATTGTGAATGAGCAGTAATATTTTGAAAGGAACCTTTTTTCCTGAGAAGTAGATCTGAACAGTGGGCTTAAAATATTCAGTAAATCATGCTGTAAACAGATGTGCTGTCATCAAGGCTTTGCCGTTCCATTTACAGAGCACAGATAGAGTAGATTTAGCATAATTCTTAAGGGTCCTAGGATTTTCAGAATGGTAAATGAGCACTGGCTTAAAGTCACCAGCTCCATTAGCCCCTAACAGGAGAGTTAGTTTGTCCTTTGAAGCTTTGAAGCTAGGCATTGACTTCTCCTCCTTAGTTATGAAAGTTGTAGGTGGCATCTTCTTCCAATAAAAGGCTGTTTCATATACATTGAAAATCTGTTGTTTAGTGTGGCCACCTTAATAAATGATCTTAGTTTAGATCTTCTGGATAACTTGCTGCAACTTCTACATCAGCACTTGCTGCTTCCCCTTGCACTTTTATGTTATGGAGGTGGCTTCTTTCCTTAAACCTGATGAACCGTCCTCTGTTAGCTTTAAACATTTTTTCTGCAGCTTCCTCATCTCTTTCAGCCTTCATAGAATTGAAGAGAGCTAGGGCCTTGCTCTGGATTAGGTTCTGGCTTAAGGGAATGTAGTGGCTGGTTTGATCTTCTATCTAAGCCACTAAAACTTTCTCTGTCTCAGCGATAAGGCTGTTTTGCTTTTTTTTTTTTTTTTATCATTTGTGTGTTCACTGGAGTAGCACTTTTAATTTCCTGCACTAATGTTTCCTTTGCATTCACAACTTTGTTAACCATTTGGTGCAAGAGGCCTAGCTTTTGGCCTACCCCAGCTTTCAACATGCCTTCCTCACTAAGCTTAATCTTTTCTAGCTTTTGATTTAAAGTGAGAGACATGTGACTCTTTCTTTTACTTGAACACTTAGAGGTCACTGTAGGGTTATTAATTGGCCTAATTTAAATATTTTTGTATCTCAGGGAGTAGGGAGTCCAGAGGAGAGAGAGAGAGATGGGGAATGGCTGGTCGGTGGAGCAGTTAGAACACACACAATATTTGTTGGTTAAGTTTGCCATCTTATTTGGGCACAGTTCATAGTGCTCCAAAATAATTATAATAGTAACATCAAAGATCACTGATCACAGATCACCACAACAGATAGAATAATAATGAAAAGGTTTGAAATGTTGCAAGAATTATCAAAATTTAACACAGAGACAAAGTGAGCACATGCTGTGGGAAAAATGGCACTGACAGACTTGCCTGATACAGGGTTGCCACAAACCTTCAATTTGTAAAAAATGCAGTATCTGCAAAGTACAATGAAGTGAAGCTCAATAAAACTAGGATGCCTATATATTATTATTATGAGCTAGAATTTTGGGATCCCTTGTTTTTTCAGAACTTGCAAATTGAGGGTAATAATATTAATAGTACCTGCCTCTTTGGGTTGTTATGAGAATAAAAGGAGTTAGTGTTACAAATGCATTTGCTATTATTATTTTTCAGGTATCTACTTTAATTTCCCCTGATTCAGCACTTCTATCCATCCAATTATGCAAACCAGAAACCTAGGAGCCATGCTGAACACTTTCCCTTAGCTTCCCCTGCCGCCCCCCACATCTGTCACCAAGGCCCACTGCTTTTATTCTCCAGTTATCTCTTGTGTCTCCAGACTCACAGCCCTTAATCAAGCTACCACCATTTCTCCTGGAATACTGCAGAAGCCTCTGAACTAGTAGAGGCCTCTTGCTGCCCTGTAATCCATTCTCTACACTGCAGCCAGGAAGGATCTCTTCACTCATTAGATTAAATGAACTCATTTCCTTCTTTCCTTCTTTTTTTTTTTAAAATAGAGACAAGGTCTCACTCTGTTACCCAAGCTGGAGTGCAGTGGCATGATCATAGCTCACTGTAACCTCATACTCCTGGCCTCAAGTGATCCTCCTACCTCAGCCTCCCAAGTAGCCAAGACTACAGGCATGTGACACCATGCCCATATAGTTTTTTTTTGTTTGTTTGTTTGTTTTTAGAGACAGGGCCTCACTATGTTGCCCAGGCTGGTCTCAAACTCCTGGCCTCAAGTGACCCTCCCACCTCAGCCTCCCAAAGTGCTGAGATTACAGGTGTGAGCCACTGTGCCCAGCCCCACCTCACTCCTTAAAACACCACACCAGCTTCTCGTTGTGTACAAAGAAAAAAATAAACATCTTACTATGGTCTTAAGCCCTGCATGTTGTTCTCTTGCCAGCCCTTCAGCCTGACTCCATACCACAGCCTCCATGCTCTCACTTCTCCAGCTCCACAAACCTGCTTTCAGGCCCTACAGCTCCTCCTGCCACAGAGCCTTTGCCTGGGTTGTGCCACCTGTTCACCCCCAGACTGGGCTCAGTCAGCACTCCCTCCGGAAGGCTGTGACTCACACTGGTGACTGCCTACCCAACAGGGATTGTCTGTCCATTTCCCACTTCTCCCTTGCTCACGGAGCCCTGATTTTTTTTTTCCAGGTATGGAACAGCAATATGCTCAGGGAAGGAGGGTCCCAGCATATGAACCATGATTGTTCTAAACCAAATGTGGGAAATGATCCCATTTCCCTGATTGGTTCAGGGGAGTGCATGATCCAGTTCTGATCAATGGGACCTGAGAGGAAGTCTGCTGGGGGCTTCTGGGAAAGATTTTCCTTCTTGAGATAAAGAGAGAAAGATGCTAGGAGCCCACTTCTTCCTGCTTTTGAATAGAGCTGATGTGATAGTCATCTTTTTTACCATGTGAAGGAAGCCAAGAGGACTGAAGAGAAGCTGACCCAGACCTTGATGTCCCTGAGCTCCTGAGTTAGCTAGCCCAGGAACCATGTATGCTGGGACTTCTTGCATAAGAAAGAACAATAAATGGCCTTTATTGTTTAAGCCTCTTGTGGTTGGGAATATTGTTACTTGTAGCAGAAAGCATCTAAACAACAAGAGAACCCTTCCCTACTAGGTCAAATCCCCATCATGCACTTTATTAGCAGCATGTAGTTATTTTGATGTTTTGATTATTTTTTTAGATAAAATTTACATAGCATAAAATTTACCATTTTAAAGTGTACAATTCAGTGGTTTTTGATATATTTACAACGTTGTACAACCATTACTACCTATCAACATTTCAGAACATTTCCATCACCCGAAAAAGAAACCCCATATTCCTTAGCTATCATGCCCAAGACACAAAAAGCCACATATTACATGATTTCATTTATATGAAATATCCAGACTAGGCAAATCCACAGAGATGAAAAGCAGACTTGTGGTTCACAGGGGCTGGGTGGATGGAGGAATGGGGAATGACTGCTTACTGGATGCAGGGTTTCCTTTTAGGGTAACAAAAAGGTTCTGGAACTAGATGGTGGTGATGGTTGCACAATACTGTGAATATACTTAATGCCACTAAATTGTACACTTTAAAACAGTTAAAATGGTAAATTTTATGTTGTAGTATTTTACCGCAATAAAAAATGCATAGTTCTTTCATCTTGGGAGGATAGGGTCAGGAAGGCTTGATTTGTTTGTTTTTCAACATCTAAATCTAAATTCCTTACCTGCATATAATCTTGCATGGTGACAATATCTATTTCATCAGTTACTTTTAACTTCTGGAAAAGATGTTCATCTTCCAAAACTTGATGGTAAAATTTATTTTTCCCCATCATTTTGCAAGCATCAACAACTGCCTACAAAGAGGAAACAGACTTTAAAAATAGTAGTATAATAGCATTAATTATCAGCACACTTTACATATTTTTTCTGACAAATACATCAAATATTGTTCCTTTCTCCTAGCAGCTTGCTAGAAGATTCAATAGAAAGGCTGCATCTACAAAGAGAAAATTATATAGGGATTTTTTTTTTTTTTTGAGACAGAGTCTCACTCTTTTGCCCGGGCTAGAGTGAGTGCCGTGGCGTCAGCCTAGCTCACAGCAACCTCAAACTCCTGGGCTCAAGCAATCCTTCTGCCTCAGCCTCCCGAGTAGCTGGGACTACAGGCATGCGCCACCATGCCCGGCTAATTTTTTCTATATATTTTTAGTTGTCTGATTAATTTCTTTCTATTTTTAGTAGAGAGAGGGTCTCGCTCTTGCTCAGGCTGGTCTCGAACTCCTGAACTCAAACAATCTGCCCGCCTCGGCCTCCCAGAGTGCTAGGATTACAGGCGTGAGCCACCACGCCCGGCCTATATAGGGATTTTTAAACCACTTAAAATTTGTTTCCATAGCCATATCTACATAGTTTTAAAATGTAGCTAGAATAGTAGCTGAGTCCACAATCCTCAGAGAACCATAGTTTCTCTTTTTTTCTTTTTGATTTTCTTTTTTCTCTTCATTTTGTGATTCTTTTTGCCTGCTTTTCTACTGCAGTTTGGGTGAAGTAGGCCTGAACATCACAGACAGAATTCATCCTTCTGGGAAATTAGAATTGCCTCATTAAGATCTTTACTCCTGGGTTCTTAAGTTACTTATTCTCTCCATCATTCATTTAGAAAACAAACAATAACAAAAACCAAAGTAAACCCACAATGTGCAAACACCAACTAAGGAGCATGAGCTATGAAATAAGAGAAAAAGCTTTTAACCATCTTGGCAGATACTGGTTTGGGGGCCACTTAGAACCTTGCCTCCTCTTCCAGTACCAATTTACCCAAGGCCAAACACAGGGGACTCCTGTAATATGTACGAACATGAAAGCGTATCTCAGCCCTCCGCTGCAAAACTATGTAGTCACACACTCTGGACTTTATATCCCAGCATTTCCCCCTATCATTACATTTTTGCTTTTTTTATTCTTACATTATCTTTAGCACATTACAGTTTTGCTTTTTTTCATAATTACATTATCTTTAAAGCACTGCCTAAAGTAGTCCTTTATTAAGCTGATCTACTGGGAATGGGTAAAAAAAAAAAAAAAATACCCTAAAATGTCTTCAGGTCCCAGGCATCTTCATAAAAATATTTCCAGGCTCCTTTGGTGAGTGTGCTACCTGGTAGGGGCACGTGGACATGTGATGGGCAAGAAATGAATTTGGTTCTGGTCCTAAAACATCCTCTCACTGCTGTGATTTTTGTTTTCTGATATGCTCGTCAAAAAAACTGGAACAATCAGAGAAAATGGAAACAACTCGTAATCAACGTGATTTTTGGATGTGAACTGCTCCCTCAGGCACAAGGTGATGGAGAAGAGTGAGGGTGCACTGGGTTTCTGGGCCGGAACAGCGCGTGGTGAGGACACCCCTCTGCCTGGCGGATTCAACAGGGGTTTGGAGGACCAGCCGTCAGAGGCCCCAGGGAGCAGGGCGGTCCCCAGTGGTGCTCTCATTCGGCCACCTGCACGGTAACTGGGCGCCTTGCTCCGCGGAGCTCCTGGGTTCCATCACCTCGGTTCCCACCAGTCCCCTAGGCAGAGACCCAGCCCAGGTACCTTCCCCTGTAAGTGTCCACCGACTGAAAATAGACCAGAACCATAGTTTTAAAATGATTAGATTTTTCCCCTTAAAAAATATTCTTTTTCTTTAAAAAAAAAACAAAACTATAACATCATTTGTGCCATCAATGCAGAGAGAACTTATCTGCTCATTAAATGGGTTGCCCTAGGAACTACAATGAAAGGTGTTACCGGAACCACATGTACATTTCAGATTGCTCAGGCCTTCCTCCCCTTCAGACTTCATTCTCAGCAGCCAAAGAGCTGCAAATGAAGGGTTTTCCCCCCTCTTCCAAATGTCAACATTTTTTACTCAAGGAAAGCACCTGAGAGGTCAGAGATAGAAGAATCACAGAAAATATGGAGGCTCAGATCCTATCTGGCCTAATTTGCACCTACCTATCCTGTGCTAAGAGCTATGCATAGACTGTGAGTAGAGACTTAAGTACTCTGCACCCCCCACAAGTCTGTGCTGACTCTTGTAACACATATTTATATAATGGATCTGTGCTTCTGGCCACAACGGGTATGCTTATGTGGAGGGAGGCTGTCATAAAAGAAAATTCAAATATCTTTTGATTCCAGATCAGTTTTTCTTTTCCCTCGTATCTCAGAATGGGATATTTATAAAGGTATGGGAACTCTGTGTTATAACGCTGATATGAGGATGTAAAAGAGTGGTTGAGGCCGGGCACGGTGGCTCTCACCTGTAATCCTAGCACTCTGGGAGGCTGAGGCGGGAGGATCGCTTGAGCTCAGGAGTTTGAGACCAGCCTGAGCAAGAGCAAGACCCCATCTCTACTAAAAATAGAAAAAATTAGTCAGGCGTGGTGGCATGTGCCTGTAGTCCCGGCTACTGTGGAGGTTGAGGCAGGAGGATCGCTTTGACCCAGGAGTTCGAGGTTGCGGTGAGCTATGATGATGCTATTCACTGCACTCTAGCCCAGGTGACAGAGGGAGACTCTGTCTCAAAAATAAATAAATAAATAAAAGTGGTTCAGACAGGATTAAAACTCAGAATCTATCTATCTATTTATTTATTTAGAGATAGGATCTCACTCTGTCACCCAGGCTGGAGTGCAGTGGTGCTATCATAGCTCACTGTAACTTCGAACTCCTGGGCTCAAGCGATCCTCCTGCCTCACCCTCTCGAGTAGCTGGAACTACAGGTGTGTGCCACGCCTAGGTAATTTTTTTCTATGTTTAGTAGAGACGGGGTCTCGCTTTTGCTCAGGCTGGTCTTGAACTCCTGGCCTCAAGCGATCCTCCCACCTTGGTTTCCCAATGCGCTGAAATTACAGGTGTGAGCCACCACGCCCGGCCAGAATCTCTGTTCTTTTTACTTAATACACAATACAACAGCAAGCCTCAATGTGTTTTCTATTCCAATTCTCCCTTTTTTTGTCCAGAATATTCCTTTATTTTTTTAAATTCCAAAGCTTAGAAGATCACAGACACATATGGAAAATGAAAAAGGAAGAAAATATTCAAATGGTCATAGTTTTATACCTAATACACTCAACTGAAGGGAGAGAAATAGTTTACTAAAAACGTGACATGGAGCCTTCCTTTAGGTAGATCATTTTTGCTTTTCATTTCATTAATTCCTTTACACATTATACATCTAAAGAAAAGATAGTATTGGCACATCTCTCCATTATGCTTTCTTGCAATTAATTTCCTGTGGGTTCTAATTAACCAGCCCCACAGTGACACTAAAGGTAAAAACAAATAATGGGTATACTGAACAGGTATGGAGACCATATAATTTCTGCTTTAGGAATTTCTGTAGGCATAACTATATTTTACTTTAGCTCAAGTTATTAAAAAAAGGTATTGATTGTCAATTCCTCCCTACAGTGCCCCACTCAGCCACCACCAACAATGTCTCCAAACCCTCATTTCCTTATTTGTACAGTGCCTCAGCTGTGTGGCTCAGCTGTGTCTGACCCATTCGGGTCCCTCAGCCAAAGAAAAACACGCCTGGCAGCATAGGGCAAGCCCTCTGTCCACTTATGAGAGGAGTTTGAAAAAGGTTTGCCATCCAATGACCAAGATGTTCTTTCTCAGACATCTGCCTTCTATGGCCAGGTTCAGGAAAATCCTCCTTAATAGGAAGCGATGGGAAAGAAGAGCCCAGCACCAGGAGAAAAGGAAGGGCAAAAACTAGGCAAGGAAGCCAGGGTACCAGCCAATCAGAGGATTTAAAAGGCAAGTTCCATTCTCAGTGAGTGACTCAAAGGGTCACAGGGAAGCATCTCTAAATCTGACACTTCCCCTGATACTCAGCATGTCTATGGCCAGAAGCCCCCACAGCCCTGTGACTACTTGCTGGCCTAGATCCACACTTGGGCTTGTAAAGCTTCTCTAAGATCTTAAGCCACTTCCCCGTTCCTGCTGGAAATTGTCATTCACAAAGGTAGTAATAACTGTTATCCCTGCATTGGAACAGTTTCTTGGTTGGAATAGTTCAATTACATACAGGCTCAATAAATAAAACCACCGTAAGTGCTGGGGTTGTTTCAACCTCAAAATGTGCACAGTACAGTGGAAACACAAAGTGTTCAAGTCTTAGTTATGCCACTGACAAGTTTCTCCAAGTTTCAGCTTCCTCATAGGCAAAATGGGAAAAACACGTACCTCACCAGAGTTATAGGAGGGCCATATAAGAGAATGTGTATCTGGTGTTTAGCATAGTTCCTGACTCTAAGGAATGTTTAAGAGCATGGGCTTTGGAGTTAGGCTGACTAGGCCTCAGTTCCTTCACTTTCTAGTTGTGAGAGCTTAGGCAAGTTACTCAGTCTTTTTAAAATGAAGATAATAACAGAAAATACATTATAGTGTTTATGAGAATTAAATATAATAACATACATAAAATCTTTAAGATCATACTTGATAGAAAGTGCTCAATAAGGGTAGCTATTAGTAATAATAATGTTTTTCTTTTTTACATAAATGCTCAGTCCTCAAAAGGACAGGGATTTAGCCAGGCATAGTGGCTTGTGCCTGTAATCCCAGCTTCTTGGGAGGCTGAGGTGGGAGGATCTCTTGAGGCCAGAAGTTCGAGACCAGCCTGAGTAACATAGTGAGATCCTGTCTCAAAAAAAAAGACAAGAGATTTTCAACTTAAAATAACAGTTGCTTAATGTTAATGGTTAAGACTTATCCATTACCCAGAGGTATTCCAGGCCTCAGCTGGGGGGAGGCACCTTTAGGACAGTGCTTTTCAACTGTATTGTACCTAGGATCACCTGGGGCCCTTGGTAAAATGCCGATGCTGACTCAGTGGGTCTGGGAAGGGGCCTGAGATTCTGCATTTTTAACAAGCTCTAGCACTAGCAGATGCCAGTGCTGCAGGCCTACAGACCGCACTTTGAGTAGCAAGGCTTTAGAACATTCTCTGGTGGACCAATGATAGTGCTAATCCTCTGTAAATAAGCATCATTCAGAAAATAGATCATCAAAGTAGGCAACTAAAATGGGATTTATTTTTTTACACATTGCTATCCAACTGTTCTAGCACCATCTGAACTGCACTGGCACCTTTGATGAAAATCAATTGATCAGATCTATGTGCGGGGCTGTTTCTGAAGTCTCTATTCTCTTCTTTGATCTATATGTTTATCTTTATGCCATCACCACACTGTTAGGATCACTGTAGCTTTGTAAGTCTTTTTTTTTTTTTTTTGAGACAGAGTCTCACTCTGTTGTCCAAGCAGTGGTGTCATCATAGTTCACACTACAACTTCGAACTTATGGCTAGGCTCAAGCGATCCTCCCGCCTAGGCCTCCCAAAGTGCTAGGAATATAGGCGTGAGCCACCACACCCGGCCTATAAGTCCTGAAATTGGGTAGTGTAAATCTGTGGTCCCCAAACCCCAGGCCACGGCCAACACCGGACCATGGCCTGTTAGGAACTGGGCCTCAATCACGGCCTGAGCTCTGCCCCCTGCCCCTCCCAACCCTTGTGGAAAAATTGTCTTCCATGAAACTTAGGAACCGGGGTGAGCAAGCGAAGCTTCGTCTGTATCTACAGCCGCTCCCCATGGCTTGCATCACCACCTGAGCTCTGCCTCCCCTCTCCCCTCACCCCGTCAGTGGAAAAAATGTCTTCCATGAAACCAGTCCCTGGTGCCAAAAAGGTTGGGGACACCTGGTGTAAATCCTGTAACTCTGTTCTTCTCCAGAGTTGTTTAGGCTATTCTATATCCTTTCACTTGTTTTTGCTTTTTGCTTTTTGTGAATTCATGAGAAATGCAGTTAGAAAATAAGGAAATGAAACTGGAAATGGAAATAAGAAGAGGGAAAAGATGGAACAAAACAAAAAGTCTGTAAAATTCCCCCTCCTTTAGAAGTGAACTTAGACTAAACATCTGAATGGACTAAAACCAACTCATTTCTTTCATATTAAGAAGTAAACTTAGAAAAGTTGGATCAGTTTGCTAAAGACACAATGCCTACGTTCAAAGAGCAAAGGAGTTGAGTAAGCTTAGAGTGATAAAAATTCCACTTTTATAAGATTTCTATCAACCACAAATCCAAGTGTAACCAGAGTTTGTTTTGAAGCTGAACTAAAGGAGAAAAGGAACCCTAAACTGTTCTCTTCAAGTTGGGTATGTTCTGATCATTTAAAACCCATTATAATGTTTAATGAAAAGTTCAAGCTAAATAAATAGTATGATCACATTTTTATAATAAGAACAAACAAAATTTAAAAATCTCTGTGTATATATTTTAATGGGAAAAAATGAAGGATACACAGCAAACTAGTAACTATGATTACCCCAGGAGAGTGAAAGTTGTAGCACAGGAGAGAAAGGCATAAAAGCATATTTTCTTTTTGTATCTCTGGGCTAATTTAAACAAAAATGTAAGTTTTTATACAGTATTATAATGAGTTTTAATATACACACAGTGATTTACAGTCACTGCCTGTAAGGTTCTCATTTGCTCAGGCCCGGGCACAGCACAGTGGCTGGCAGGAGCAGACCCAGGAGAATTTCAGTTCCTGGAAAAACCCCAGTATATAACCTCAGAAAAGAAACAACTGATGATATTTTATAGGGACAACTATAAGCTTATTCTGTAGATAAACATGGCCTGAATTTATCCCTTAAATGTAGGATAAACACATATTTTCACATTTAAAGTCAATCTATATAAATATTAATGTTTTTGAAACACCATTTTCCATAATGAAAACATGTAATCCATTTGATACGTTGCTGAAAGAAAGTTAAATTTTCTCCAATATGGCTTGAGTACACAGAGAAAAGCAGTCCCTTTTCCCTTTTTTTTTTTTTTTGAGACAGGGTCTCACTCTATTTCCCAGGTAGTAGCTTATTATAGCTCACTGCAACCTCAGACTCCTGGGCTCAAGCGATCCTCCTGCCTCAGCCTCCTGAGTTGCTGGGACTATAGGCATGCACCACCACACCTGGCTAACTTTTTTTTTATTTTTTGTAGAGACAGAGTCTCTCTATGTTGCTCAGGCTGGTCTCAAACTCCTGGGCTCAAGCGATCCTCCTGCCTCGGCCTCCCAAAGTGCTAGGATTACAGGCGTGAGCCACCGCACCCAGCCTCCTTTTCCTTTTCTAATATTCCTGAGAGTCAATGCTGCACATGCAGGATCTCATCAGAAACTGCCAGGCTATGTGGTCTTCTCACCTGCAAACGTGCTAGAACTCATGATTTTAAATGGCCTATACTTTCTGTGTAAAATATTTCCAGAAAGGGAATCTTGCTGGGGTTACAGGAAAATAACCTTTGATATATGGTTTATAAAAGGCTAAATATAAGAATATCCACCTTTTTACTCAATTATAGTCATGTATAATGGTCAAAGGGGTAAAATCTCTGCTGCAGGTCCTTGCTATTAAAAGTGTGGTGTATGGACCAGCAGCAGAGGCAGCATTTTAACAATATCTCCAGGTGATTCCTATGCTGTAGACACAATTATGAATATTCATGAAACTTAAAAGTATGATGAGAACACATGAAAAAAGAATAAATATTTTAAAAGTTCATCTTCAATAGCGTAGTCCAGCACATTTTTTCTAAATGCGCTACCAGAATCAAAGAAACAATAAAATTCCATTAAAACAAATAAAATTGTATCAAATGTTCTGCATAATTTAAAAGCCCTGACCAATAGGCCACTTTAGTCCATTATTAACAGACCAAAATTTTAATACAAAGAAAAAGGATGGATATTTTTTAGAGCCTTATACAAGTAATTTATTCCAAATTTTTTTTACTTTGACACATGGTGCTTAAAAAAACACTGCTGCCTGGTGGGCTATTTAATAGCAAAATAACTTAGTCTGTATACTTTAAATGCAATTCAAATACTACATATATGTTAAGAAGGTAAATTAACATAAAATGTACATCGTGAAACATTACCTCACTTGATGGCTTTAATAAATTTCTTCCGCTAAAATACTTGTAACCACGGCCTTCGGTATGAAGAAAAATTTTAAACACAATAAAAGGTGGAAATCTTTCACCACTAAATCTGAAATAAAGATCAAAAATTAGTCACTTGGTATTAGGTTGTGGGCTCAGTTACTTCTTCCCCTTGTATTTAAGATAGTTCAGATAGTTTCTTGCATATAGGGTAAAGGCTATAAAGAGCATAAAAGTTCTTTATATGCCAGAGCATATATGCTTTATATGCTCTGAGCATATATGCTCTGGCATATAAAGAACTAGTATGAAATGGATTGCAGAGGATGAAAGACCCACATTTTTGTGTGCTCACAACTATTCTCATACCTGTGTCAGACTGGACACAGAATGAGAGATGAGAGCTATTCTCATGGCAACTTTTAGTCCAAGGTTCATGCCTTAGTCCAGGGTTGGGGAACCTGTGGCCTTAAGGCCACATGTAGCCTTCTAGGTCCTTAAGTGCAGCCTTTTGACTGAATCCAAATTTTATAGGACAAATGCTTTTATTTTTATTAATACATTTTTGTTCATCTTTTATATTTTTATTTTATTTTTAAAATGAACATATTTAAAATACCAAAGAATAAAATAAGTTCCAATGAAATAATCCTCCCAGATTGAACATTAGTAAGCCATAAGGGCTAAATTGATGGCTGTTACACTCATGATTTAGTTCTAACTTCCCCCGCCTGACTGGTGCCACTACTACACCAGGCTGGTTGGTGAGAGTTCATGGGGGTCGAGTGCGCCAGTCTGTTGTCAGCTTTTGACAATGGTGCACTGTGTTTCTGTTTAAAGTGGAATTTGTGAATAGTTGCACAGCTCGACACGATTTTTTAATTCTGTCTGCGTAACAGCCCATCATGTCAAAGAAGACCAAGAGAATGCTGAAGGAAGAAAACAGATTTTTAAATGAGGATGGGAATTGCAATATTATCTCATTTTTGCTAAAGATAAGATGATTTGCTTGCTTTGTAATACTGCAATATCAACATTAAAGAGATTCAATGATCATCAGCATTATAACACTCATAAGGACCACAAATATTTTAAATTAGAGGGAGAGGCACGAAACGTTGTATTCTAGAAATTAAAAGATGAAAAGCAAAAGCAAAGACAATTCTTTTAAGCAGCAATAAGACCTGGAAATGATGCCACTGAAGCAACTTATAAAGTAGCTTATATACTTGGGAAAAAGGGGAAGCCATTCAGTGATGTAGAAATTGTGAAAGAATGCATTGTTAAAGTTGTAGGATGCTTAGACCCCAATAACATTTCAAAGTACAAGCCTCTTTCAAGGAGAAGCATAACTGATAGGCAGCATGAATTAGCCTTCAACTTAACAGAACAACTTCATGCAATAATTCAAAAGGAAAACATATATTATTCAATCACTTTGGATGAATCAACTGATACTGCTGACTCAGCGCAGGTTTTAGACTTCATTCGGGTCATAACAAAAGATTTTCTCAGAAGTGTTACTCACTTTGGGCACTCTTGTGAACAGAATGCAGGGAATAGATACCTTCAACAACTTAAAGTTGAACTGAATTTGGTAAATTTAGTGAGTTTATGTACAGACGGTATATATTCCATGACAGGAAAATATGAAGAGTTTATTGCACAGGTAAAAAAAAAAAAAGCGTTAACAGATCCAGATGCTCTCATTTCTTTTCACTGTGTCTTGCAACAGCAAAATCTCTGTGCTAAAGCTACTATTCTAAGTGACACTGCAACGAGTTATAAGTATTGTTAACTATATTCGTGCAAATGCAAGACGGTATAACATACTAAAGTTGAATGATGAGATATTCAGTGCAGAGGTGCTGTGTGTTGGCTATCACAAGGAGAGGTGTTAGCTAAATTTTATCTCTATGAGAACATCGCAAGGACAGGTGTTAGCTAAAGTTTTTTCTCTATGAGAACATATAGTTAAATTTTATGAAGAACAGAATCAGCAATGTGAATTATTTAAAGAATATTTCTATAGGAATGCAGCATATCTGTGTGATATCATGTCAAATCAAAATGACCTGAATATTTCTTTGCAAGGTAAAGCTAAGTCTATATATGATATGTGGCAAAAAAATCCAAGCATTTAAAAAAAAAAACTATCTTTTTTCAAAATACTTCTTCTTCAAAAGGAAATTTTGGATGAACATTTTCCCTAGTTAGCAAAGGTCATTGATGAGCGGGATGATATATGTGAATCATTTGAAGAATACACAGCTGTTATAGACCTATTAATTGGAGACTACAATGAAAGGTTCACTGACTTTGAGAATCATGACATCACACTCAAATCAGCATTTCAGCCTCACCCAGTTGATATCACCAAGGCACCTAAAGAACTACAGATGGAGTTGATTGAGCTCTCAGTAGATGACATTTTAGTCATTGTTTGATGCTAAGGTCCAACTGAAAGATGGAAAAATGCAATAGAATACCCGTGCCTTCAGCAACATGCCTGAAAAATGCTTTCTTGGTTTTCAAGCACTTACTGCTTCGAATCTACATTCTCCTACTTAACCCAAATCAAGACACCCTTAAGGTCACAAATGACTGATACCCATCTAGAGCATCAACTGAAACTGTGGACCTCCATGCTGCAACCAAATATTCAAAGGCTTTCCAACAAAAAGCAGAGACAACAAAGTCATTAAAAGGTTAGTTAATTTTAAAATTAACAAAGAGTTTTCAGTTTTTGAAATTATTAAGTACATAGTAGTCAGATTTTTACAAAGTAATGTACATTTTTAAGTATATCTAATTGAAGTTTCTTGAATGTCGCCTTATTTGATTACAGCTAAATTAATGCAGCCTTCCAACATGAAAAGGTTCCCCACCGTTGTCTTAGTCTCTTCACATAACAAATGTACATAAGGACAGCACATTTACTTTGTAATTGTATCTTGAGAAGTTTTGAAGATTAAAAAAATACATTTCTAAGATTTCCTCATATTAACTAAATACTTCTTGGGAATAAATCAGCATAGATAGACACATTACCTGAATCTGACTTTACACTTCATGCTAGGATCTTTAACAAGCTTAGCCTCTAAGGGGCTTACTTTCTTCAGTATGTCATATGTCACACAGAATTCCTGAAATAGATGACAGTGCTGTAAATGGAAAGTGGTACCCTGCCCAGACATAATTTATAGACTACAACAGAGGCAGCATAGTAAAGTGAACAGTACACTGGACTTGGAGTTCTGCAGAGGTGGGTTCTTGTCTTGGGTCCTCCACTTATCATCTGTGTAGCTGGCTTTGAGTCAGTTACATAATCTTTCTGGCCTCCAAGTTTGGGTATCTGTCCCTTCTTGAGATTGCAGGCACTGTTCTTTCCCTATGATAACACTTTTCACAATATATTGTAATTACTTATAAACTTGTCTGTGTCTCCTACTAGACTGTAAGCTTCATGAAGGTAAGGGCAGTATCTTTCTTCTGCACCTTTTATTCAAATAGGATCATATTCTTCATACTTTCCTGTGCTTGCCTTTTTCACTAATGAGCTATCTTGGTTATCTTCCTAGCATCTAGTACAGTACCTGGAACACAGCAGATGATTAACAAGTATTTGATGTTTAATGAATCACTGTAACATGAGGATGATAACAGTAATAAGTTACTAGCTTTTAAGCACCACATACTATGTTTGGTGTCTTATATACATAATATCACATAACCTCATTTAATCCTATTTTTTTTTTTTTGAGACGGGTTCTCACTATATTGCCCAGGCTCGTCTTGAACTCTTGGGCTCAAGTGGTCCTCCCGCCTCAGCCTCCTAAGGAGCTGGGATGACAGGCATGTGCCACCGCACCCAGCTAGTTTTTTTAAAAAAATTTTTAGAGATCATTTAATCCTTCTAATAGCAATATTATTAGAATATTATCATTCCCATTTTACAAACGGGAAGGCTGAGGCTCAGGGAGTTTTTGTAGCTTATACAAAGGTATAAAGGTAGTAAATGAGGAAGCCAGAATTCAAATTTAGTTCTGTTTGACTCTAAAGCCCCCACTCTTTCCCCCAAACAACCCCATCCAAACTTTATGCTTATGATAATCATATAAAAATGTACACTACAGGACTTTTAAAAGGACAAAGCATTATTAACATAAGATACTAACCTGAAGCATTACGACAACAGATTGTTACCTGTTCTATTACTAAAAGAGTCTAAAATTATAATGAAACCAGTATTATGATAATTAAATACAAGTTCCATATTCAAAGACAATGGACAATGAATCTGAAATGTCAAGAGTTTACCTGGGTGGGTTTTCTCTGAAGTATTTTGCTTTTACTGACGTTAGAAATGGGTCTGCGGATCAGATGCTGAAGAAGTGTACACATTGCTCAGGCTTCGTGATTTTTTTCAGGGCTGCTAAAATTCCCTTAATGTGACTATCACTAATAATAATAGACTACTGGAATTATGACTTGTTTTATTAGGAGAATATTTGATACTATACCAAGGATGGCTTAATACTCTGGTGGGGTTGCCAGAGTTTTTCTGGGGGGAGGGGAGATGTGTATCTTTTTGTGGTTTTGTTTTAATTCAAATAGGATCATATTCTTCATACTTTCCTGTGCTTGTCTTTTTCACTAACGAGCTATCTTGGTTATCTTTCTATTGCAAAATCATCTTAATGCTGCAGTTTAACACTCTAAGAGCAGCAACACTTACTTAACCAGCATCCTATCAATAGACATTATATAATTTACTTTTACTGTTTGCTGTTACAAACAATGCTGCAATGAAACTGTACATATATTGTAGAATGGATTCCTAGAAGTAAAATTGCTGGGCAGAAGGTAAGGGAAAAAAAATCAGTCATCCACATTAAAAATAAATCCAGAAATATTCATTTAGGGCTAACAAAAGAAGTAATTCCAGAATGTCATGCAATATTACTAGATCTAACTAGAAGATATAAAGAAGGTTATCTATTCTATCTTTAATGAACAGATCTTTTAGCTTGATAAATAATTAAATCTTTCAGAGAAAACAAAAAGCAAAATACATACCGCTGCACAAATTGTGAGTTTTAGGAGTTGAAATATCATTTTGTCTGCGTGAGAAAACCAAGCTTTCTGTATTACTTGAGCTGAAAGGTCTCTAGTCATCCTGAAAGGGGAAAAAAGAGGTTGATATTTATGAAGTAGTGTTCATTTTCCTAAAATCTTGGAGAACTCTCAATTTATGCTTCTTCCTCCTGCACCTCCCCATCCCCCACTCTAAGACTGACCTAATGAGGAACATTTGGATGCGGTAATTGGAACTGGTCATTTGCAGACTCTAGTCAGAATGAGGATATGAAATACTTGAGAATATTTCCCTTGAGGTTAAAAAAAATCCTGGGTAACACTTTATCATTAAGAGGCATATATATTATAAATAAAAAGTGTGAGGAGACAAGCTTGCTTTCTAAAAACATCCATGACCTAAAATGATTCAGTTACAGTTAGTTCTTAAAAACAATGTCCAACTAGCTAAGAATATGGAATGTGGAATAGTTGAAGTTACAGGAGGCCCAGTTCTCTACTGGGGCAGATGACTATGCCCTAGAAAAAGAAACTCCCTTCTCTGATCTTTGCTTGAACTGGGCTCATCCCAGTCAGGACAGAGAATTATTCTACTTTTGATCATGTCCCAGCACTGGCAGACTGTGGGGGTGTCCCTTTCCAAGACCCTCCCACCCATCATTACCTCTCACAGAGCTATGTGCAAAGAGAGGTATTCCTGCATAATGTCACTGTTGGCTGGCAAAATGCAGACTACAAGATATAGACAGGAAAAGGCTTGAAGTATGCAAACAAACCTTTGAATCCTAGCTGATGCTATTTATTAGCTGTTTAACCTTCTGCAAACCACTTAACTTCTCCCAGTTGCTGCTTCTTCATTTATAAAATGGAATAATAAATCTGTTTTGCAAGGCCCCATCAGGATCAAATAGATGTGTATTAACATGCTTTGTAAGTTAGAAAATACCACAATTATAATAATTATTATGGAATTTAAAAGTAATTTTAAAAAACAAAAAACCTCTAATTTATAAAACAAGAAGTGTTTGAAGTTATCTGGGTGAATACTGTTTGGAAACTGTCCAGTTGTGAAAAATGACACAAGGCAAAAGATGGGTACTTACTGTCGCCGTATTGGCTTTGTCTTTGCAGGAATTCTCAAACGTACTTTGTGGCCTTTTCCTGAGCGTCGATTACCTGATTTTGGAACACCAGGATCTTTTGTTTTTGAGGAATCATTCATTTTTTTTGCAATGAAGTAATCTGAAAGTACATAAATTTAGCCTTTGAGGTCATAATTTATATTATTACACTGTTTGGACTAGAGTCAAAAGCCATATGATTGTTGTACTAATTATGAACCCCTTAAAAAGGAAGTCATCATGGATCTCTTCATGTTGCTTACAGTTTACATTCTTTGTGTATTAAAATTATTTGTTGTATATGGGAAAGACAAGTGGATGTATGCATAGCTTTCTAGCTGGTCTGTTTCCAGACTCTTCCTCCTCCTATTTAGCCTTCACACTACAGCTGGGGTTAACTTTTTAGAGCAATAATTCAATCTTATCACTGCCCAACCATCAGCCCAACAAGCTCATTAGGGCAGGAGGCATCACACTAACTATGGAATCCCCAGTGCCTAGCAGAGTGGAGAGTTTTTATATGCTTGTCTGAAAACTTTTTGTCCTGGTTTTCTCATCAAACAGCAGTGATACTTTGGGCAAGTCACTTAACCTCTCAAGTGGTTCAGTTCCCTCCCTGGTAAAGTGAGAGGGTATGCACTAAATTATCTGATTCTGCCTCTTTCTATTCTTTGAAGCATTACTCCAATTTGGATGTGGCTCCCAAATTCTTAGTCACTGCTTAGTCTCTTCTACTAAACCAGAGGCTCTTTTCTTTTAGTGCCATGGACTCCTATGGAGGTATCCCTTCTAAGAATTACTCTTTTAAAATGCATAACATAAAATACATAGGATTACAAAGAACTCCAATTATATTGAAATCATCAAAATATTTTTGGAACAAAATTATAGTGAGTGTCTTCTTTATGCATTAAATAAGAGATTGAATAACTACTATACTTTTGAAGCAGTAATGCACATAAATGGTATTTCGAGATACCTGCCATGACTGTAATATGAAAATATCTGTGCTTTCTATTGATGACAAAGTCACAGGTACTGGTCAGGCATGGTGGCTCATGCCTGTAATCCTAGCACTCGGGGAGGCCGAGGCTGGTGGACTGCTTGAGCTCAGGAGTTTGAGACCAGTCTGAGCAAGAGTGAGACCCTGTCTCTACTAAAAATAGAAAAATTAGTCTCTACTGAAAAATAGAAAAATTAGCCAGGCGTCATGGTACAAGCCTGTAGTCCCAGACTTGGGAGGCTGAGGCCGGAGGATCGCTTGAGCCCAGGACTTTGAGGTTGCAGTGAGCTATGATGATGCCACTGCATTCTAGCAGGGGCAATAGAGCAACACTCTGTCTCAAAAAAAAAAAAAAAAACAAAAAAAAGTCACAGGTACTGCTAATACTACTGTGGTTTGTTGCCTACCCTGTAATTGAAAGAAATGTTAAAGTGCAGTTAGAGGTTAGTGAAAATGAAGTTTGTTTTTCTCCCCATCCAAGTTCACATACCCCCTGAATTAAGAATTCCTGCCCTAATTTATCACTACCCTTCAGACTTTTGTGTATGTGTGATGTTACTTTACTGATGCAGAGTCTTCAGAGTCTATTCAGTATTTCTCCTTAGGGATGGGGACAGGGTTGGGGATGGGGATGGAGATGCACATGGCTTGGAATATACAATTCTCTTGAGAAAGAGAAAAACAGGCCTTAACATCTGGGAGCTGGCTTGGCACTCACGGCTGGGCCTTGATGTTATCCCCGCTTCCTAATAATACCCAATCCAGAGCAAAGCCCTGCTTCCTTGAACTCACCCCCAAATCACCCAGCTAAAGCCCAAATCCTATGATAAACCTTCCTAACACTCTCTTACTGAAATGCCCCACTGGTTTCCCAAATGTGTGTTTTCTTTGCAGCAATGAGAAACTCAACTTCTTCAATTTCAGGTGTGTTCCTAGTGGTTTTTGGCCGGAGGGCAGAGACATGTCACTGTACAAATTTCAAACTCTTCCTGATGCCTGCCTGGATGGGGCTACACTTTCTATCAGGTTAGGACAGAAATGCAGAATAAAATATGAAATACAACCTTATTATGAGACAGTGCAACAACTGTTTGGTCTAGAGCACAGGTTTCAAAGGCAGACCACCTGGGTTTGGATCCTGGCTTCCCACTTTCTGTGTGGCCTCAGTTTCTTCATCTATAGAGTGGGAGTAGTAATCGTGTCCACTTACTTGTGTTGTTGGAAAAATTAGATGAATGTGTGTAAGGAGCTTAAATCAGAGCTGCACACATCCTAAGAGCTGTATTACTGCTTGCTATTCTTGTTGAGATAATTATTGCCATAATTACTTCTACAGCTATTAAGGGACAAACATTTGATTCCCAGTGAGGGGCTTACGCTTAAATGTCTTGAAAAGAAATAACAAAATCAGAGCTTTTTGCGACTAAAAGACATGGCAAAGTTTAAATCTAAAGCCTGAGAAACGTCCACCCCACAGGAAAATCTCACAACCTTTTTTTTGCGAGGTAAATCCAGGCCTCCAATCGGCGGCTTCTGGCTGTGAGGCTTTCGAACCGCCGGCCGCCTCTGCGCACAGGATTCCCAGCCCACGCCGCTGGGCGTCCAATCATCGCGGCGAAAGCAGGTTCCCAGCGCCGCGCGGCGGCCTGCGACTTCCTTCTCGCGCCCCCACGCACCGCCCACACTGAGCCGGCGCTTTCTTGTCACCTAGCAACCGCAGGCGCAGGGGCGGAGCCAGCCGAAGGGTGGGCCTTGCGTTCGCGGGCCGCCCGGGGCGCTACGCTATGCATCTCAGCTACGCCGCTTCCAGCCCAGAGTGGGGGAACTAAGCCTTTGCTGCGTTGAGTTGGCTGTACGGCCGTCATCCGCACAGCGGCTCGCTTGCAGGCGGAGGAATCAGGGCCCTACTGGGCCTCCGTAGTCGCTTCTCTGTAGTGGGCGTGGCCAAGGCTCGGGTGACCCTGCCGGAGCCGCCGCTGCCAGCGACATGTTCAAGGTGAGAGCGTGGAGCCGGGTCACAGCTGTCACCGCCCCCCTCCCGGCCTCCCGAAGCCCTCCCTGCCCTCTCGTGGGGCCTTTCCGCGGACCAGGCCCAGCTAGCCTTTTCCCGCCGCCGGGCCTGTTTTGTCCTGGCTCTGCGGTTCATTCACTGGTCTGCTTGGGGCAAGTGGCTGAGGGAGGAGGCGTGAGACCCGCCGTGGGTGGGGACCGCCCTTTGGGTCGTGCTCTCCTGAATAAAACAACTATGAAAAGTTTAAGTTCCTCCCTCCAAAGTACCCACTCACCTGGCTGATGCCCTACTGGGATCGTGGGTAGTGTAAGGCCAGCTCAGGGAACTGCGGGCTTCTTGGCTTTGGTTGCCTGGCAGGGTCAGGTTTCAGAACCTGGTATGTGAGTGGGGGAGGGTCACCCTCGGAGAAGCTGTGCAAGGTGTAGGGGAGGCTGGCGTAGGATGGCTGGGTGAGGAGGGAAGCTGGAGCTTTGCTCCAGGGAAACATTATTGTCCCCAGGGAACATTATTGAATGTGGACAACTCATATCCTTTTTAAGAAATCGACTTTTACAGTGAAGACTTAATTTCCTTCATTTAGCTTAATGCCATTATTCTGCTTTTTAAAACACAAGTTGTATTTTTTGTCATAAGAAATCACAGGCTACCAGAAATTAATCTACAAAATTGAGTCTTCAAGCATACTACCCACAAAATAGTTATAATGAAATCTCAAAATTGCACTACTCATTTAAAAGTTTTATTGAGCTCCTGCAATGTGCTTTGGGCACATTAGTAAAGGCTATAAAATCAGAACGTGGATTCTGCCTTCCAGTCCTGGCTTTGCCACTTTCTAGCTGTGTGACCTTGGACAAGTCACATAACCTTTCTGTGCCTGTTCTATTGGTGAAATTGGGATAATGGCATCTACCTCATAAGGTTGTTACAAGGAGTAGGTAAATTGGTATGTGTAAAGCACATGGAAAAGGCCAAGTATTTGCTTTTATTCTGTTTTCAGGCAGCACACACTTGAGTCAGGAAGAGGCAGACAGGTCCCATAAGCAACCTTCATTCATTTGTTAGGAGCTCAGCTTGGTTTTAGGGTTACAACAATGAAACATCCTGTGATCAGTTTAACTCTATGGGTACCAACAACATAGTGTGATAGTGAAAAAGCAGGAGCTAGTCAACTTAAGCAGGTGTTCTTAACCTGGGGTCGTCAGCCCCTCAAAGGATCTGTAGATAGAATTCAGGGGGTTCCTGATCTCTGATGGGAAAAAAAATAAATATTTTTACCAGTCTCTAACTGAAATGGAGCATTTTCTTCTGTTGTGAATATGGGTAACTGTTTCAGTAATCTATTGTCGGGTAATGAACCACTGCAAACCAATGCCTTAAAACAATAATGATTTATTATTTTTCACAATCTGTGGGTGGGCTGGGCATTTCTGGCATCCCCCAGTGGTCAAATTCAGCTGATGGCTTGACTGAAAGGTGGCCTCACTCCCACGTCTGGGGGGCTTGGAGCCCCTCCATGGGCTTCCTTATATGGTTACTGGGTTCTAAGAGGGCAAGTCCCAATGTGCAAATGCCTGTGTCACATTGGCTGATGTCAAAACAAGTCATGTAGCCAAGGCCATAGTTGATATGGTGGGGCACTACAAAAGGGCATGGATATGAGGAGATGAGGTTCATTGGGAGCCATTAATTTAACAAGTTCCTACAGCAGCAGACCACAGTAGTATTATATTAGCACTACCTGTCACCAATAGAAGTCACAGTACCAATGCAAGTCACAGACATTTTCATATCACATGACAGTTGTTGCAGATCTCAAAATACCATTTATGCTTATCACTACTTCAGACTTATGGTAGTTATAAGACCCAGTGTTAGATCTTTTTATTTAATGGGCTAATAAAGAAGCACAGATTATTATATCAGAAATTTGAGTTTTAAAATTAAATTATTTCAATATAATTGACATTTTATTGTATGCAATTAGAAGCATTATTTTGAGAAGGGGGGTCACTGACTGCCAAAAAGGTCCATGGCACAAAAAAGGCAAGGAACCCCTGGGGACCTTAGGGAAGGCTTCTCAGAGGGGACACTTAAATTTAGTTTTGAAAGACAAGTAGAAGTTCTTTAAATAGGTGAGCTGGGGAACGTGGGCAGTGGTACTCCATCAGGGGAAGTGCTGGTAGCTCAGTTTTTTTTGTTTGTTTGTTTGTTTTTTGGTAGCTCAGTTTTGATCAGACACAGTGAGCTTGAAATCATTCCAGGTGAACGTGTACTTTGGATAGAAAAGATCACAACAAAAACCTTGGAGGACACCAAAATGTAAGGAGTAGGCGGAGGGAAAGACTTGAGAAATAGAAATAGGAGCAGAAAAGAGTGATGTTTAGAAAATCAAGGGAAGAAAGTTTCAAGAACAGACTATGTTAGGATGTTTGCAGCTGGGAAAACCCAATTGCTTAAATAGTGAGGGAAATTATTTCACAAAATCCAGAGGAAGGATGGATTTCAGGCTCATTGATTCAGGGGCTCTGGGTCAACATAGTCATCAAGGACTGGTCTCTTCTTGGCATTCCACAGTAAGGTTGGTTTCCCTTACGGTTGCAAGATGACTGCCAGTAACATACACACTTTGTCATCCGCTAGAGTCAGAGGAGGAGAGAGGACAAAACTCTCATGCTTGCATTATGTCCTTCAGTCTGATTGGACCAACTTAGGTCAGGTGTCTGCCCTGGGATGAGTCACTTTACCTTAATTACAAGGGAGAGGAATTCATGAACACAATGGGGTTCTTTTAGGAGGGAAGAGTGGAAATGGAGGCTGGATGTGTAACCAACAATATCCATTATAGAGATATAAGTTAGATGAGTTTGGAGAAGTATTCATTGATGTGGACACTTTGGAAAGCTTTCGTGATCCTTATACATGGAGGTTTACTGATGGAAGTGAAAGCTAGATTAACGGGTTGGTGAATGAGGGATGAATGAATGGACTCAATGGTCGTTGATAATTGACTGTTAAGCGAAGGAGAGAGAATATGGTAACTAGAAGGAAATGTTTGATCAAGATTCTAGAGTTGTTTTGTGGTTGTTAAAGTGAAGATTTAGCATTGTTTATGGTCTAGGGGAGGAAGTAGAAAAGGAACTTTTACAAGAGAGAATCTCAGCTTTAAAAAGAGGAGACATATTCCCACTTGTGGGAAGAAAGAGACAGAAAGAAAAGAAAGGTGCAAGGGATCTTAGACCAGTGGTTCTCTACTGGATGTACCTCTTAGGGTACGTTTTCCTTATGTCTTTAATTTAGTTGTGTTGAACATTTATATACTGAAATATAACTCATATAAATCTTAACCTTTTGTTCACCTTTATGTTATGATCAAATCAGTATGCTGATATCTTTTCTCTTTTGGACTTACGTGTGTAGGTGGGTGATGATTTTATTTTAGGATAGCAAAAGAGTGTTATAAAATTTTTGTCATAAAATGGTGGTGTCAGGTCCAGTAATTGAGAACCAGTGCTTGTCAAACGTTAATGTGCATGGGACTCTTGTTAAAATGCAGATTCCAATTCAGTAGTTCTGGGATGGGGCCTTAGATTCTCCATTTTTTAAGGAGGTCCTGGGTGCTATGGATGCTGCTGGTCCCTCATCACAGTTTGAATAGCAAGATTTGAGGCAAATCAGTAGACGAATGGTTTCTTTTGTTTTTGAGATAGATGGTTCTGTGACCATGATGGGATTTGGATGGTTCTATGATTGTGGCGGGATTTGGAAGAGGCACTTATCAAGCAACAAAAAAGATAGGCCAGCTGCTTTGAGGGCTCTGCTGAGAGTGTTCCTACTGCAGGTCTGTGCCAGTGGGGACAGAGAAAATGGCAGGATTGATCTGGGTGTGGGAATTAACAGCTTGGGCCAACTAGGACTGGAGGACAAAGGAGTTGATAGTATGGGGGGTGGTGGAAAAGAACTGTCTAGTTATGTACATATTTAAATATTTAAACATTAACCATTGTTTTGATTTAGCTATTCATCCTCTGGTCAATAGGGGGCACTGGTGGATTAAAAAACACATTTGAAAAGCTGCCCAGTATTTGCGTTCCATTGTAAGAAGCAGCTTTTCCTTGTGCTGCTGGAGGAAGTTTGAATATTAAATACATATCCCCAGTCCCCAGATTCACATGGGGCCCTACCCATGGTTCTGATTTACTTTTTAGGTGGGGTCCGGGCACCTCTAGTTTTGAAAAAGACCCCCAGGTAATTGTGAAACTTTGTTTCAGAAGCTCACAGTGTGGTTATCCACACAGACATTAAAAGTCCATTATGGGCAAGCGTGGTGCCTCACCATGCCTGTAATCCTAGCACTCTGGGAGGCCGCAGAGGCAGGAGGATCACTTGAGGTCAGGAGTTCGAGACCAGCCTGAGTAAGAGTGAGACCCTGTCTCTACTAAAAATAAAAAAAAATTAGCCAGGCAACTAAAAACAGAAAAAATTAGCCGGGTGTGGTGTTGCAAGCCTGTAGTCCCTGCTACTTGGGAGGCTGAGGCAGGAGGATTGCTTGAGCCCAGGAGGTTTAGGTTGCTTTGA